TGTGTGGATCTAGGGTAGTGGGGCCAAGTGTCTGAGCAAAGAAAACTTTCAGGAGCATCCCCAGCAGCACATAAGCCACTTGGCAGGCGTTGTTGATGACATTCCCGCCTGCAGCTCCCAGTGCTCAGAGGTCTCTCCCTCATCTACATTTTGGACGAAAAACTTGGAAAGGAAAACTTCAATCCCAGAAGGAGGAACGTGGAGATGTCTTGCCCGAAGACGCTGCTGTGCCAGCATGGTTCAATGCTCCATGAAGTGCTAGAAAGGATTCCTTTCGTGCTGGCGTTTCCAAGCTTCTGTGATAGATGTGAGTCACCGTGACTGTGTCTGGGTTAGGTTGACCATGGGCGGGCAATTATTTTGGGTGGAGGGCCACGTGACAGGCAACCAAGGGCAGATAAATATTAATTTATAATATTATAAATATTATAATATTAATATTAATACCTTCTAAATTTTTTAGGGGCTCCATGGGCCGGATAGAATAGCCTGGCGGGCCACATTTTGCCCACCCCTGGATGCTGCCAGCGCGTGTATCTGGGCCAAATTCAAGTGAAACATTGCAGGTGGAGTTGCCCCAGCTTACAGCAGGCCTGAATGTGACCTGCTGGGCCTAAACATAGGGCCAATAAGTGAGCAATGTGGAAATGGGACTTGATGAGCCAATTGCCTGTTTCTTTTTTGCTCTGCTTTTGGAATCACCAAAGCGTTTGACCAAATGCAGCTTATTGACCTTGCAAGGAGAAGGAGCTGATCAGCCAAACTGCAGAGAGCTGGACACTTTGAATCTGGTACAGAATGATGACCAATAACTTGGTGCTCCTGGGACCACTAGGCTGTATAGTTTGTTCTCTTGTTTCCAACATGCAGAGGAATGTGTAAAAGGCCCGAGGATAAATCTTCGTGTGATGTTGTGCAGCGGGAGGAACTGTCTTCACCCCAGGTGCTGTGCCTCTGATGCCTAGAAGCAGTGGTGGCTGCGTATTATTGTTACAGCACCTGCAAAATGAGACAGTCCTTCCCCCATGTCTTTTCAGTATAAGCAAGGCAGACACCGAGCAGACGGGATGTGCTGGGAAATGCAGAGGCAATTTGAAAACTAAACTTGTCTCTCACGTTATAGACCATGAAAGGTATACATCAATGTGAGGGATCCAAATGAAGAGAAAGCAGTGGCTTAGCACGCAGAAAATATATACGTATATCACAGCTTGTATCCAAGCAGCTGAAC